AAAATGTTTTCCTCTAGATCAGTACATTAAAATTTTTTTAATTGTAAGATTATAATTTTTTTTCAAAATTATTTATTGAATACCTGCTAAGAGTCCAGTACTATTGTAGACACTGTGAATATAGTAGTGCTATGGTAGACAGGTTCCACCCCTCATGGATCTTACATTCTAGTGAAAATCAATATAATTTTGTTTTTGGAAATATCTATAGTATGTACAGGAATGGAAAGTGTTAAGAAGAAACTACACCACAGAAAGAAGATGAGGCAAAGGGGTATTAGATAATGTCTTCCAGTTTAAAACTGAGTGCAGCTGGGCGCAGTGTCTCATGCCTGTAATCCCAGCACTTTAGGAAGGTGGGAGGATCACCTGAGGTCAAGAGTTTGAGACCACCCTGGGCAACATGGCGAAACTCCATCTCTACTAAAAATACGAAAAGAATTAGCCAGGCGTGGTGGTGCACACCTGTAGGACCAGCTACTGGAGAGGCTGAGACAGAAAAATCACTTAAACTGAGGAGGTGGAAGTTTCAGTGAACTGAGATTGTGCCGCTGCACTCCAGGCTGGGCAAGAGAGAAAGACTGTCTCAATCAGTCAGTCAATCAATCAATCAATCAATCAATAAAACTGAGTGGCCAGGAAGGACCTCCTTGAAAATGTGACTTTTAAATACAGACCTGAAGTAAACGATTCTGTGAATCACATGGACATCTGGGAAAGAGCATTAGTAATAGTCAAGCCAAGTACAGATAAGTGTTCACTTGTTTTCTTTCTAACACATGTGACAGATTTTATTTTAAATTTTATAAGAAAAAGCATAATCTGTCAACACATGAATTTAATTATGACATGTTTGGTTTGGGGTTTACATATATATTTAAATGTAAATGAAAATTTTAATACACATTAAACACTATTTTAAAAAGTGAAAGCTGCAGCATCTGATATTTGGTATTTTTGCATTCTGTACTTAAAACTAAATGAACAGGTTTTAGATTCTTATTTGCAAGCGCATTTCTGTAAGCAACATCTTGTGAGGGGAAAGTCTTAATCCTCAACAAATAAAAATTCAGATTGGAAATAATCATCAATATGGCTTCTTTTTCAATTGGATTTTGAAGTATTGGTTTTATCTTGAAGGTGGACATAAGACATTTGATCATGTGACTAATGGCTCTCATGAAGTTAATAATGAGGTGAATTTGAGACAGCATCATTTCTCTGTCCCTATTAATTCACTGGATTACGAAACCAGGTTTCCTTGTATTTCGTAGAATTCACCAATCTTATTATAGATTGAAATTCATTACTATATGACCTATCATACAAAGCACATGCATGATCCCAGACTGTATAATGGTCATAACAGTCCTTTATCATCACAAGGTGGGTAGCAGGGCTCAGCTGAATAAAAAAACCACTGGCATTACTGACTCCAGGTCCTGGTTTCCTGATCTTCAGTAACTGCTTCTCATGATCATCAGTCTGTATTTGGAAACTCTCCAGTAAGTCTATTTTAAAGGGAAGTGGGTGTTGAACAATGAGAACACATGGACATAGGGAGGGGAACATCACACACCAAGGCCTGTCAGGGGGCTGGGGGCTAGGGGAGGGATAGCAGTGGGTAGGGGGATTGGGGAGGGATAGCATTAGGAGAAATACCTAATGTAGATGATGGGTGATGGATGCAGCAAACCACCATGGGACATGTATACCTGTGCAACAATCCTGCACGATCTGCACGTGTACCCCAGAACTTAAAGTATGTAATTAAAAAGATTTTAAAAAGAAAAATAAAAAATAAAAGGAAGAAAGTGTTTAGATAATTATTTTGCTATTTGACACATTAAATAATTATCTTACTGCTGTCTACACACCATTACTGTACTGAAAGCTGAACCACCTTTTGGAAAACTCAAGTTGGGGAATGCAGCAATTCAGCAACTGATGGCAAGACAAGAGCTATTGTGGAAGTTACTGCTGGACTCGGTGGGGGCAGAGAGGAGGGATCCAGACCCAGTGAAGCCTTCCAAGAGTTGCTTTAAAAGGTAAGTAGGCAATAGGCCAGTTAAAGAAGAGGAAGGAGCATCTACCCAAAAAGCATAGAGCCATGGTTTAAGGAGGTTTAAGGAACAGTCTGTGGTTCAGCATGGTGAGTCCATATGTGAATCAGAGGCAGATAAGGGAAGAAGATGGCAGCTCCCCAAATGTGGCATATGCCATGCAAAGAAGTTTGGACTTGGATGGGGAGCCATCGGAAGGTTTCATTATAGCTATAAAGTATTTCAACTGATGTGTCAGAAAAATCACTGGGGCTGGGAGGAGGGTAAAGACTAGATACCAATAATATCTTGTTTTTATTCTGACGTTTATGCAATATGATTTATAAGACTTAGGGAGATCTAGAGAGCCTTTGCTAAAGTAAGGTTTTCCTTCTTTTCTTCCACTTTTCTGCATATTCCAGTTAAAGGAAAGCATTCTCTCTATGCATTCTTGCTTAAAAATCACCAAAACAGGGCAGTAAGTGTTATCAGTTTTTTAATATCACTATGTATTATATATTTTTCTCCTAAAGAAAGCCAGTGATGTAGATGGTAAAAGAGACAATTTGCAGAGGGATGGTAATGAGTAGCCCGTCCTGGAAGAATAGTCAGCTTTGCGACATAAGGAGAAAACAGCTGGCCCTGAAGTCCTGGAGGATGTCAGGAACTGTGAGGGGTCCAAAATTTTACCCTACATGCAAGCTAACAAGTTAACCTGCTATGATTTCAAGGATGCAGGCAGGAGACACGAGACTCCTGGGCCAGAGCCAAAGAACAATATTTTATCCACTGCAATAGCAATAGTCACAGTATTGTCACTGTCTTGTTTCGGTTCCCTGACTCCTAGTTCCTACAGGACAACACAACAAGGGCCAGCTGATACCTGCTGCTGCAGTGGGTTGAGTTGCAGGAGAGGAACCCTGAGTTTAGGAAAACCCCATCTTTTATCATGGGCAGCAAAGTACCCAGTGTTTGCTCTAGTGGGAGACATTCTCTCTGAACCCAAGGCATTTCCCGACAAAGAAATGTTTGAAAAGATGGTCCAGAACAAAATACCCTGCCTAAAGACATGCAGAAAGACTGGAGATCCATGAATTATTTCACTACAGGAGCAAACTGTGTGTCCTTAAGCAAGTATTTGTCCTTATTGAGCTTGTTTCCTTACTGATAAATTAGGGAGATTATTAACCAACTCGTATGATAGTCTGAAATAAAGTATTATTTCAAACTCAGAACCAGCAACATGGTGAACCTTTTACTTTTTGCATTATGTTGAAGCATTTTCTGATAACACTGCTAAAAATGTAACTTGCTTCTCACCAAATACTGTGAGAAGAATAATCCACAAGCGATAAAAAACACAGGTGATTCCAACCCATTTCATTTGATAATTTAATAAGATGTAGAAAGTTAATTCGTTGTATCTCTAACCTAGCAATTGTACTTAGGCATTCATTTTCTGTCTTTGTAATTCCTTGTTTGTAAAATAATCTTTGAGCTGCTCACTTGTTTTCTCACTGCCTTCCTTATTGGGGAATTATTGAACATTTTTACAGATGTTAACATATACATTTGTTTAAAAGTCTGATTGTAAGTTTCTTACGGGTATTAAATTAGATAATAAACTATCTGGAGGAATCTAGAGAATAGTGAGTGTTCAATAAATACCAGTTCTTTGCTATTAGTTTTAACATCAGACGACTTAGATGCCATAAATCACACCAACATTAACATTTTGTAATTAAAATCATAGAGCCCTACTTTTCTTAAATTTTTTAAATAATGACCATTTTCACCAGTTGCCATATATTTTCAGAATCAACGTAACTGATTGCAATGACTCATAAAAAATAATACTTTAAGGCCATCATTAAGACACTTTTATAACTGGAGCATTATTTTTAATTATCTCTAGCTTCACATTTCCTTTTCAGGAGGCTGGCATCTTTCTTTCCCAAGTCAGTCCATTACTTTAGTTTTAGGGATGGGGAGAGGATACAATTTATAGGATAATCCTACTCAGGGAAAAAGAAGAAGGTAAAAATGACTGCCCCTCACCCTGGTTGTGTGTGCAGGGAAGAGGAGCATACTAATTTGTTTTCACACTGCTGATAAAGACATGAGACTGTGTAATTTATAAAGTAAAAGAGGTTTGATGGACTCACAGTTCAACGTGTCTGAAGAGGTCGCCCAATCATGGCGGCAGGAGAATGAGAGTCAACTGAAAGGCAAACCCCTGATAAAAACATCAAATCTCATGAAAGTTATTCACTACCACAAGAACAGTATGTGGGAAACTGCCCCCATGATTCAATTAGCTCTCACCATGTCCCTCCCACGACATGTGGGAATTATGAGAGCTATAATTCAAGACGAGATTTAGGTGGGGACACAGCCAAACCGTATCAAGGAGTTACAGAATTAAGAGTGGCAGTTGGATGCCTATGTCTGCATTGTGGGGCTTGAAGCCTAGGCATGAAGACCAGGCCAGTTAGATTGGCTGAAAGGGACATGGAGATCAGAGGGCTCCTTTCCAGTTCCTTCTTTGTGGGGAACATCGGGACAGAGAATGTTCCAAGCTCATTTCAGATAGCCCCAACATACTTCAATGGGCATGGCTAGAAAGCTGCAGATTGAGTTTACTAATCATTCCTTGCTTCCCATTTGTCTCGGGATTAAGTTAAAAGCTAAAGCACCTATTCTTGAGCCTAGTATGGTTCATGTATGATAGTCTCACAGCAGAGACTTTGGGGTGTTGGACATGAACCAGCTGCAGATGACAGATGTGACAGTAACTCAGAGAAGTCTTCAAAACCCATGAAGACTAAGGGTAGGCCAAGTCATTAGGTGGATCCACCAGGGTCCAGAGACACTAAAAAAGCATACACTATGAATGAGTTTATCCACCACAGAAGTCAACAACGGTTATCAATAGGCTCCCTAGGATCAGAACTGGCTGAGACAAGCTGCAGTGGAGCTCCATTTACATTGGTCACTATGCACTCCCCTCCCAACTCCAGAAAGCCTGTGGCCCCTCCCATGCTTTGGCTGCCATCTTGGAAAGGAGGGTGAGAAAGTAGAGCAATCTGAAACACACAGTTGTCCAAAGAATCGAGTTAGGTCCCCGAAACAGATACAATGAGCTTGTCTCACTTTATTTTAGGTTAAACTAAGATTTCTTTTTCCCCTTTACTCAAGATGTAGACACCTGATGAGAAACAGGTCAAGAGAAATCTAGGAGCTCCCTTGCTTTTGGACATCCCTATTAGAGGATGAGGAAATTTGTAATTCCATTAAGTATTTTTTGAGCTTTTCGACACTTTTAATTATTATTGGGAAAGAAGTCAGAGAAGTCCCTAAAGCCACAAAGAATTATTAATGTTTTTGTTTGTTTGGGGATTTTAAGCTCCAGTATTGTGATATTTTTTTTGGTAAAGCATCAACTGTAATAGCTTTGCAATGCAACGTTATCAAATTAAACAAAAAGGGACGTAAGTAGTTACATGAACTGCTCGTTAAAGCTGACTACCTTTTTAAAAAATGCCAGGATAGCTCTGGAGGGTAGAGAATAACCCAGTTGAAAGTCTATAAGCAATGCTGTCCACACCCCGAATAGACTGGCAAAAAAAGCCTCTATCCTGTCAGCCACTGGCATCAACCTCATCCCAATCAGATAACTAAAAACCAGGTCTGCCGTACGTGTCATTCAAAGCATGGCTCTCGGCAAAATGGAAAGGTATGTCATGATTTAGAACCTGGTCATTTGAAAACTTGATTATAAGGTAAAATATGCAGAAGCTTTAGGAAAGGTATAAAAATGTCATGCAAATAGGGTAGCAGTTTGGGGAAGAGCTGAGATCAAATAAAATTTTCTCATAAAGTGTGCTGCTGTATTTTCATGCACTGAGACGCAGGGAGATTGGGACAGTAAAGATTGTGACAGGGCCTGAAGGCACACAACTGATCTAGAATCCAGCTCTCGGTCTTCCTGACCTTCAGAAACTCACTAACCTCTCTGAGTAAATGTCTGGATTTTCTCATTTGTAAATAGGGACCACGTTAGTACTGACTTCACTGGTTGTTGTAATAATCAAGTGTTAAGATGTATCAAGCGTTCAGAAGACCGCCTAGCATGAACTTATGTAAGTTTCAGCTGTCATTATTGTTATTGTTGTTAATAATATTTCTAGACCAGGTGTGCTAGCTCATATCTGCAATTCCAGCACTTTGGAAGGCTGGGAAAACAAAAGGAAAAATAAAGAAGAAAAAGAAAGTATATTTGCAACAGTGGTGAAATACAGTATCTGAAATATGGGTTGCTAATAATTTTTTTAAATATATAAAAATAATATATTACAATGACACCACTCCTAGTATGTGTGAGTCACAAGTGCCTGCCCTCACAGAGTTTTCAGTCTAATAACCGGCGTGAATTAGACGGAACATCCTTTGATGTTTTCCAGCTACCAGATCATTAAGTTGTAATATGAATATGAATTGCATTTTAAATCTAAATCGCAATATGTGTTGAGAAAATTGAAAAATACTAGGTTCCCTTCATACAGTCTTCTGAGAAGTCCTAAGGTTTGAGCAGTGATTCCTCTAAGGGAAAATGTGGAAGGAATTAGAGAAAGAGGAGAAGAAAAGATGGAAACGTTTAGAATGTCTTTTCAAAGATCAATGTCTTCTCAAAGCCTGGCCATAGACAAATAAGATGTTGGGAAGACAAGCTTGCAAATGGCAAGCTCTGTAGCTGTCTGAAATGCTGGGAAAATTGAGAATCTCAAGCAGGTTAAGAATCATCCTTTTTTTAGAACAGGTAGAAAAACTGGAGAAAAAAAAAGAATTTTCCTTTTGCCCTTGTTATTCACACAATTAGCAAACCATTTAGAACGTTAACAAACCATTCAGAGCCTAAGAGACACAAGAAAAAGTTCAAACTGTCCCATCTTTATTTTACAACAAATCCTTGAGGTCACATTTATTTACACTTGACCCAACAGCTATGGTTCCCAAAATATATCTTCTGAGAGCTAGAATGTGACATTCTTCCAAAATGATCAATTAACAATGGCCTTCTCCTGATTCACTTAAGGAAAAAGATATAACAAAGTTGTGCATAGAATTCTCTAAGTTCTTCTTCCAGACGTTTTCTTTAGTGTTTGGTGCTTCTGACTGTTAATCTGCTGACAAGTAGTAATGCAATCAAATCATTCAGTAAGTGAGTAAGTGAAAGTTAACAAAAAACCTGAAAACTGACCCGGCTCAGCTTGTTTATTTTCGTGGGCATGTGGGCTATGATTTTACAGAGCACACATGTTATATTGTTCTATTTCTGTGTCCCACGTGTCTACTTGGCAGAACTGCACAGGCTGGTATTTCATAGGGCCGCGTATCCCATAACCTTGAGGAGGTTAGGCATATGAACAGGTCTGAAGCCACAGCAGTATATGCTCTTGGTGCTTTAATACAATCTGAGAACCTATGTTTCCATGCCCAAGGGCTCTCCTGCCAACTTTGCAGCCTATTTGAGAAGCTGCAGGATGATGAGCAACCATTAGCATCAGCTGTGCTATTTGTGATCCGAAGAGACTCATCCACCGGGAACAGGACCGAGAACATCCTATCCCAGAACACTGCATCCTTGGTCTCAAAATGTACAGCAGCTTGATTTGATTGCAAAGCACAGTGGGAGAATTTGGAAAAGCATATTGTAGCTTGAATTCCATGGGGTCTGTCCACCTTCCTAACACCCTTTTAATTATTAGGAAGGCCTTACCAAAGCTGGAGTGATCCTGCAGTACAGGGCATGTCAAACAAGAAGGCTTAGCTTCCACATCTACATGGTAACCTTGGGGAAATTATTAGACCATGCTCACTGAAATGCAAAGGAAAGCTCATAATGATGCCTGTCCCACACATACTGTACCGGGATTTGGAGGAGGAGAAGGAAATAATTTCTGTACTAAAAATCTCCAGCTTCAACAGCTTGGGACAGAAAAACAAGACTATAGTTGCTAATTTCCAGAAATTTGCCTGCCTCAAAGAGGTCCCCCAGTTTCTAGGGTGTTTTCCAGGAATCTTCCTCTAAAACTGTATGCTATTGATAACATGACAGCAGGACCAAGACCAAGCTAGGGCTTTGCCAAGATTTTACCATAGTCAGAATAACTTAAGAGTGCTATGAGAACCAGCTACTCCAACAGCCTACAAACCCAAATTGACTTTGGGTGCTGCTTGGCTCTCACGTTTTGATTCCAACCATTCCTCTCTTTCTGTCGTCTTCTTAACTGAGACTTACTGAGGGCTGCTAAGTTGCCAGAGTATAACCTATTTCTCAACTTGTCAACACCTTGGTGCGGTGGCTCTTGCCTGCAGTCCCAGCACTTTGGGAGGCTGAGGCAGGAGGATTGCTGAAAGCAGTTCCAGCCCAGCCTAGGCAATATAGTGAGACCCCATCAATAGAAAACAAATAAAAAATTAGCTGGGGCTGGGCGCGGTGGCTCAAGCCTATAATCCTAGCACTTTGGGAGGCCGAGGCGGGTGGATCACGAGCTCAAGAGATCGAGACCATCCTGGTCAACATGGTGAAACCCCGACTCTACTAAAAATACAAAAAATTAGCTGGGCAAGGTGGTGCGTGCCTGTAATCCCAGCTACTCAGGAGGCTGAGGCAGGAGAATTGCCTGAACCCAGGAGGCAGAGGTTGCGGTGAGCCGAGATCACGCCATTGCACTCCAGCCTGGGTAACAAGAGTGAAACTCCGTCTCAAAAAAAAAAAAATAAAATTAGCTGGACTTAGTGGTGAGCTCCTATAGTCCCACCTACTTAGGAGGCTAAGGTGGGAGGATCACTTGAGGCTGAGAGGTCGAGGCTGCACTAAGACATGTTGGTGCCATTGCACTCCAGCTGGGTGATAGAGTGATACTTTGTCACACACAAAAAAAATATATATATATATATATATATATGCGCACCAGGAAGACAAAGTAAATAGAATGCATTATTCATCAATGCATGTTGAAGTGTATGTACATACACACACCTAATTGTAGGTCCATACCTGTTTCCAAACCATATCTTATACATGATGTGTTTTCAACAATCCAGAAACCCAGGAGAACTCCACAATCCTGCTCAGCCTTGTTATCAATTTCCAATCTTGAACAGTCTTTCAAAGACCATAGCCATGAGAAGATCAACTCTGCCATCTGAAGGAGCCAAAGTTATCTGAGTCTCAAGTCTATGGCTAGTTTACTTCAAGCCTGATCTTCAGAGAAAAGCATAAGAAAGGGTTTCTAATGTGTTATTCCATTGCATTTCATCACTTTGCAACTTTTTTGCTTGTATCTCATCTGTCTTACTCATTTTGGTTTATAAGCTGTGTGAGAACAGAAAATAGAACTATTTTAGGCCAAGCGTGGTGGCTCGCACCTGTAATCCCAGCATTTTGGAAGGCCAAGGCAGGCAGATCACTTGAGGTCAGGAGCTCAAGACCAGCCTGGCCAATATGGCAAAACCGCATCTCTACTAAAAATACAAACATTACCCAGGCATCCTGGCACACACCCGTAATCCCTGTTGCTTGGGAGGCTGGGACAGAACTGCTTGAACCCAGAAGACAGAGGTTGCAGTGAGCCAAGATCATGCCACTGCACTCCAGCCTGCATGACAGAGTGAGACTCTGTCTCAACTAAAAAAAAGAAAAGAAAGAAAAAAATGTAACTATTTTGCTCATTAATGTGTACCCAGAAATTAGGCCTACCCCATGGTGGGCAGTCAGACAGTGTTTCTAAGATGACTGACTGAACAGCCTAGGGGCGAGGTCAATGGAAAAAAAATTAGTTCACTGATATGGTTTGGCTGTGTCCCCAGCCGAATCTCATCTTGAATTGTAGTTCCCATAATCCCCACATATTGTGGGAGGGACCTGGTAGGAGGCAATTTAATCATGGCATGGTTGCTCTAATGACGTTCTCATGATAGTGAATTCTGATGAAATTTGATAGTTTTATAAGGGCTTTTCCCCCTTTTGCTCAGCACCTCTCCTTGCTGTTGCCGTGTGAAGAAGGACATGTTTGCTTTCCCTTCTGCTATGATTTTAAGTTTCCTGAGGCCTCCCAACCATGCTAAACTGTGAGTCAATTAAACCTTTTCCTTCATAAATTACCAAGTCTCAGTTTCATTAGCAGCATGAAAATGGACTAATATATCCACCTATAGAATAAGAGGAAGATCAGTAAATGAGCTGGGATGTTAGTGAGCGCAAGGCAGGAACCCGTTCTGTGACATGCCCACTTGAGTAGCAAGATAATGCTGGGAGGGTGGAGGAAGGAGAACTTGGGCCTGGGGAATCATGGATGGGTGGGGGCAATGGCTCACATCAGCAACCCCAGCACTTTGGGAGGCTGAGGCAAGGGTATAAATTGAGGCCAGGAGTTTGAGACCAGCCTGGGCAACATACAGTGAGACCCCTGTCTCTACAAAAAAAATTTTAAAAATTAGTCAGGCATGGTGTCATGCACCTGTAGTCCCAGCTACTAAGGAAGCTGAGACAAGAGGATCCCTTGAGCCCAGGAGGGTGAGGCTGTAGTGAGCTAGAGTCATGCTATTACACTCCAGCCTGGGATGAGGCTCTTTTTAAATTTTTAAAAGAGAGAAAATTAGGACATTTTCTAGTTAAGTGTTTAGGAGATAAGCTTAGTGACTTTTCTGCCCTCACAAAGCCAGTTAGCAGGCAATATAGACAGAGAACAACGTGGACCACCTAAGTCCTGGTTAAGGGCCTTTTTCTCAGAAGCAGAGGCTGCTAAGGGAGAGACGTGAAGGTCAAGGCTGAGCTCCCGACAGCTGCCCCTCCAGCCTTCCCCCACCTCCTATAAAGAGACGCCATGGGCTCTTGGTCCAGAGACTCAAATTCAAGAGAAGAGAAGAGGCAACATTTTCAGTGATGATGCCCAAGTTGAACAAAGGTGAGAGATAAGGGAAGAGGTCATAGGGGCTAGGCGAGAGGTAATGTGCAGAAGGTGTGATGCTGGTGAGTTGGCAGGGACAGTGGTGAGGCAAGGTTCTGGGCTTCAGGAAAGAGCAACTGTGCTGTGTTGTCAGTGTGGCAGCTGCAGAGTGTGGGAGGACTGTAAGGGGACCACGGAGGGGGAGATGTAGGAACCACAGAGGCACTGGGAAGCTGCCGCCTGATATGCAGCATGGCCATGAGGCCCTGGACCCTCCAGCCACTCCCCGATCATGAGTTTCTGGCCCCTTGGGCCCTGGCCATGATGCTTCATGAGCCTGCTGATATTTCCGCCTTCTCTCCAACCAGCCCCTCTCAGGGCCTTCTCACGCCACTCCATCAGAAGCATACCTCAAGCACCCATTTGCATGATCTCCTTTTTAATTCCCAAAGTTTAAAATCTCCACTTTTGTGGCTTCTGCAGGTCTCAAAGTTGCTGCTTACTCTAAAACCAGTAAATTGCAATGACAGGAACAAAATTTATCTTACACTTAAAAAACTGAAACAAAGTCTATAAAATATGAGGGTGAGAGAAGGTGGCATTTCCAGGGAGTTAGATAATAGTTGCCCTATGACAGAATGATCCTCTAATCTAACCTGGAAGCTACAAATTCTACCTGCAAAGTGATTTGTAACCACCTTTGCACACCTGAAGGTGACAGTCTGGAAATGCAGCTGAATTTTGTGGATATCCTGAGGTCACAAATAAGCTGTTTTCGTGCATGTGGCTATATCCTTTGGCGTTTGCTCTATTTTGTAAAGTGTGTCAGTATGATCGCTTGTAGCATCTTGGATTTATCTGGCAATATTTTTCAGAGCAACCTCAGAATGCTTTTCACAAATGTCATTCTCTTATTTTTGAGGACGTTCATTCATTCTTTTTTTCAAAGCAGTTCCTAGTTCCAGGAGATTCTCCTTGCACATAAACAGACTCTCCTTCCCCTCCTGGTAGGAGCCGTCTCTGCGCTGTACTCCCTGCACCCACTTATTCCAAGCTCATTTCCTTCTGGGACTGTCCCTTCCTGGCTCCTTGGATCTCACTGTCGCCTCTGGCCACACCTCTATTCTTTCCCTTTGTTTGAACAGTATTAGAGGGGAGGATGTTTTTCTTTTATGTTGCTGTTTGTTTGTTGACCCAAGGTCTCCCTCTGTCACCCAGGCTGGAGTGCAGAGGCACTATCATGGCTCACTACAGCCTCTACTTCCTGGGGTCAAGTGGCCTCCCACCTCAGTCTCCCAAGCACCTAGGATCACACTGCCACACCTGGCTAATTTTTTTTTTTTTTTTTTTTTTTTTTTTGTAGAGACTGGATTTCACTAAGCTGGTCTCAAACTCCTCAGCTCAAGCAATTTACCCACCTCGGCCTCTCTAAGTGCTGAGATTACAGGTGTGAGCCACGGCACCTGGCCCAGATGGGGAAGACTTCAAATATTCTCTCCTCTATTTTTTCTCCTGAAAACTAAAATGTGAAACATTTAAGTTGAAAGCGGCATTCTGGACTACATTTTCAGAGCTCCCAGTCACTAGGAGTCAGCTGCTTCAACCTCTTAAATGTATTACTTTATTTCAGAAAAGTAAACATTATAACTTCAAGCAGGAACACCAGAAAGTTGCTTGGCATCATTTTTAAAATCTGATTTAAAACTACTTGATGAGCCAAATATGTGTTACGTCAACTTAAGTTCTTTTTTTGTGTGTGTGCTTGATCCCCAATATTCAGAAGATAAATGAAGACATGTCTTTGAGAAAATACATTTAAAGACAGGAAATACAAAGACTGAGAGAGATCATATAGAGAAAAGACAGAGGATGTGGTTTCCAGATGCATGGAATCCCTTACCTGGCATCACATACAAATATTAACTCAAAGATCTAAATATCAGAGCTAATTGTATTAGTCAATTTTCATGCTGCTAATAAAGACATAGCCAAGCGGGGTAGTTTATAAAGAAAAAGAGGTTTAATGGACTCACAGTTCCACATGGCTAGGGAAGCCCCATAATCGTGGTGGAAGGCAAAAGACATGTCTTACATGGCAGCAGGCAAGAGAAAATGAGAGCCAAGTGAAAGATACCCTCATATAATCATCAGCTCTCATGAGACTTACTCACCACCATGAGAACAGCATGGGGGAAACCACCTCCATGATTCAGTTATCTCCCACCAAGTCCCTCCCACAACACACGGGAATTATGGGAGCTACAATTCAAGATGAGATTTGAGTGGGGACACAGTCAAACCATATCACTTACACTATAAATCTCCTAGAAGAAAACATAGGAGTAAATCTTTGAGATTGAGTGATGGTTTCTAGATATGACACAAAAGCACATGCAACAAAAGAAAAATATGTAAGTTGAGCATCATCAGAATTAACAGTTTTGTAGTTCAAAGGACACCACCTAGAAAGTGAAAGGCAACCCAGAAGATGGGAAAAAGCTCTTGCACATCTTATTTTTGATAAAGGACAGGTATATGGATTATATAAAGAATTCCTACAGCTTAGCAATAAAAACACAAATAACCCAATTTAAGAATCAATAAACAATCTGAATAGACATTTCTTCAAAGAAGTTTTACGAATGGCCAATAAGCACATAAAAGAGGCCCGACATCATTAGGGAAATGCAAATCAAAGCCTAAATGACATGCAACCCCACATTTACTACGATTACTCAAATCAGAAAGTCAGATAACAATGAGTGTGGGCAAGGCTGTGGAGAAATCTCACAAACACTGCTTGTGGGAGTGTAAAATAGTGCAGCACTTTGGAAAACACTGTATAGTTTTTCAAATGATTAAACAGAGCTCCCATATGAACTAACAAATTCACTCATAGGTACATACCCAAGAAAAATAAAAACACATGTACATACAAAAGCTTGTGAACAAACATTCACAAATATTCATGGCAGATTCATAGTAGCCAAAAGTAGAAACAACACATTCACCAACAAATAAATGGACAATTAAAATGGCATATCAATACAATGCAATACTATTTGACAATAAGAAGGAATGAAGTACTAATACATGCCACACCATGGATAAACCTTGAAAACATTGCGCTAAGTGAAAGCAGCCAGCTACAAGGATCACATAGTAGCTCATTTAGCTTATATGAAATATCCACAATCGGCAAATGATAGAGACAAAGGGTAGGTTGATGGCTGCGTGGGGCTGACAGCCTGAACAGTAGTGGGGAGTGACTGCTAATGTGTATGGAGGGTGAAAATATACTAAAATTGATTGTAGTCATTTTTGTAAAATTCTGGATAGACTAAAGATCATTGTATTTTATTTATTTTTTTAATTATACTTTAAGTTCTGGGGTCCATGTGCAGAACGTGCAGGTTACATTGGTATACATGTGCCATGGTGGTTTGGTGAATCCATCCCTCCGTCATATACATGAGGTATTTTTCCTAATGTTAGCCCTCTCCAATCTCCCCACCCCCTGCTATCCCTCCCCTAGTCTCCCCCACCCCCCAACAAGCCCCAGTGTGTGATGTTCCCCTCCCTGTGTCTGTGTGTTCTCATTGTTCAACACCCACTTATGAGTGAGAACACGATAAAAACCCTAGAAGAAAACCTAGGCAATACCATTCAGGATACAGATCATTGTATTTTTTACTTTAAATGGGCCTATTTTATGACAGGTGAATTATATTGTAATAAAACTCTTATAGAAGAAAGAATAATGGAATTATCAAGAAGTTAACGTTTGCTGCAAAGACTAAGAAGTTAAATATTTTAAAATGCCCATTGAATTTCATGCACGGGTATCAATGATGACCTCACTGAGAGCTATTTTGATTGATAAACTGGTGGGGATGTAGGACTAGCCTGGAGTAGAATAAGTAGTTAGTGGGAAGCTAAAAAAAAAAGGTGGGGTAGGTATAGGGAGCAACAAATTGGGAAAAGTTTTCATTTACGAAATTTGGCTGTGAAAAAGAAAAAGAACATTAGCTGGATGAGATAAGAGGTCACTAAGATCAAAAGAAGAGGCCTGAGCATGTTTGATAAATGCAGCTGAGCATGGCGACTCACACCTGGAATTCCAGCACTTGGCCAGGCCAAGATGAGTGGATTGCTTAAGCCCAGGAGTTCGAGACCAACCTAAGCAACATGGTGAGCAAAAAACTAAAAATATATATATATAAGTAACAAAAGCTGCAGATGAAGGGAGCAAGTTGATCAGAGAAGTGTGACATAATAATTAAGAAATGTGAGAGACATGTTTTAAGAAGCATGAATTTTAATGATATTTGATGTGCCATTCGTTACAACCTTCTCCAGCATGGCTCAGCTGCCCATATACAGGTGGGAGGGCAGAAGGAGTAAGAATTTCCCAGGATATATGGCATAAAAGAAAGTTACGAAATTTATTTACAAGATTGATATGAAAGGAAAAAAACTGCTAGACTGCAAGAGAAGACTGAGAGAGAATAAAGGCCTCAGTGGATTCTGAGATAAATCTTCTCTTACTTCATACCATTTATCATTTATTTGTTTATTTATTATTTTTTTAGAAGATGGGGTCTTGCCATATTGCCCAGGCTGGTCTCAAACTCCTGGACTCAGGCAATCTGCTTTCCTTAGCTTCCCAAAGTGCTGGGATTCCAGGTATAAGCCAGACTGGAAAAGAATAACGTTCTCAGTGGATTCAAGTGGACAAGATTGAAAACCAGTCATTGTAGGAGTCGTTGAACAGGTAGGCTAGAAGAAGAGGAGACTGAAGTGCAATGCGGAATGCTTAGAATTAATGACTGAAGTGGAGCAGTTTCAGATGATAGAGAGCATGTGTCACCGAGGTGGGGTGGGTGACTGCACAGAAGAGGAATCCACGGGAAATTTAAACCATCATGAGTAGGAAGTTGGAATGTGAGAAGGGCCAGTCACATGTTGGAGTCACTCAGGATAGCTGTGGTGTTGGGATGAAAAGAATGACTGCAAACCAATTGGCAGTCTCAGATGACTGACAGAGAGTTGGGGTTGTGCATGATGGTGACAGAGGAAGAGAGGGTGGTGGAGTAAACCATCGTGAGCTCCAAAGGGGAAGGAATTTTTTGTTTCCTTTCTTAACAGACAGAGTGGTCCAGGAGAAGGAACCAACAAAAAATCTGATCTACCTCCAGAGCTTAGGAACTCAGGTAGCCTTAAGGATATCAGAAACCACCAAATATGGATGGGCAGAAGCATCTCTTCACCGCCATCCTCATATATAATTAATGCAGTTGTTGAATTTGGCTCAATATCCACCTATAACTACCACAGTGACTGTTAACAGATTTTTGCTGCCTTTTCTTGCTCCTTTCCATTCTTACATCCACTATTTCCGACAGAAATTATAACAGTAGTGTTGTGAAGACAGTTGATCGGCGTTTTTGTTTTCTTGTGTACGTCGTCCTGATAGGCCAGCTATGCATGGATTTGATGGCTGCCGAATGGTCTACCAAGTCTAAAAATGAAAGCGTAGACCCTTAGTCAAAAATAACTTGGATGCATGTGGTACTTTTCAAGAAAAGAGGAATTCGAAAAAAAAAGGATATTGGTTTAATGTTCTGTCTGCAAGTAAATTTCTTTGTTTACCTATTCTGTCCAGTATTTATTACTTGGCTGCATTTCTAAAACAGATTTCACAAGACCAGGGGTCTTTGTCTACTTTGCTCACCGATGTGTTAGGAGCACTAAAAAGAGTGTCTAACAGGGTAGTCATATAATAAATATCTGTTGCATGAACAAAAAAGCTCTTATTATGAGCCAGCATTTTGTTGAGTTCCTAACGTGAGAGGTATGCGGCACTGTCTTGAGTGAGATTAAGGGCTAAACGGAAAGACAGAACTTTCACAAATAGAAGCATGTTAGAAGAATCACCAAACAACGAGGCAGTCTACACTCTATGAAAGCAGAACACAGCCTGCCAGCGGGGAACGAGAAAGAGAGAGGGATGGAATCCAGCCCAGAAATCTTTCGCCAAGAGGGGAAAAAAAATAAAGGCCAGAGAAGGAAATGCAGCAGGTGCGCATAGGTTTGACACCTGGTCCACCGCAGCCCTTCCCAAAGTGCTGCATTCTAATAGGCTTTTGGATATCCATGGTCAAATGCATCTGTGAAATCATCAGCTAAACAAAGTTGAAATGTCCCTTTTTACTACAGAACTTTAGACCCTTTGCCAAAGAGTTTTGTAACTTTCCAACAGGGGTCTTAGATGACAGAATTTTACATACGTATGTGTGTGTAGAATTTTTCTTTTTCTTTTTTTTGAGATGGAGTCTCGCTCTGTTTCCCAGGCTGGAGTGCAGTGGCATGATCTCAACACACTGCAACCTCCACGTCCTAAGTTGAGGTGATTCTCCTGCTGAGTGTCTGGGATTTCAGGCACCCACTATCATGCCTGGCTTTGTTTTTTGTTTTTTGTTTTTTTTGGTAAAGATGAGGTTTCACCATGTTGGTCAGGCTGGTCTCCAACTCCTGACCTCAAGTGATCCCCCCGCCTCAGCCTTCCAAAGTGCTGGGATTACAGGTGTGAGCCATCACGCCAGGCCAGTATGTATAGAATTTCAATGGACATGTCTAACATGAAACATACTATGAAAAAAATGTTAATCCAAACACAACATTGTAGTGCGGTGCTCTGAGGCCAGACCTCAGCTGCACTGAACAGCTGGCAGCTCTGAAGTTGGAAAAAGTCTCTGGATCTCTTCTTGGTCATCTTAACTGACAAATGCATGTGAAAATGCTTAAGTATCTACTCCCGTCAATCTTAGAGCAGAAGAGCCACACCAGCTTCAAGCAGGTTTGTCAAGGATTGAAGCTATTAGGGGCAGGTGCTTCTCTACAAAAATTATCTTCATGAATAAATGTTTTGTGGTTCCTCCAAGACAGCCTAGCTACAGGGAGGTGTAGGGAGGTGGGGATTCAAAGAAAGAAGACACGATATAGAGAATTCTGGAAGAAAGAAGCAAACCCTAGCAAAATGGCATGGATTAGGGTTATGAAGAAAAGTAACCGATAACAAGCTAACCAATAGGAAGGGCCGAGGGATTTTAAGATCAAAAAATTTTAAGAGGAGATATTAAGTTTTAAGCTTTCCTCTCCTCTGTGGTAATTTCTAGTAATTAGTATCTCTTCTTAGTAAAGCTTGTGAAAGATGACAGCTTTGAGATACTCATGGTTAATAATCTTGGAAAGAAAAACATCTGATAAAACCAAGAAGCTGGTTTCCCCCTGACTGTCACACTTGCGACACTAACTTGCTGTGTCATCGAGGTGATGTAATGAGAAACAGTCAGATTTTCTCTGGGAACTTCTCTGGCACTGTTAGGTAGATTCTTCTGTAAGGACTAAGTGAATGTAAACACCTAAATGGCACTAAAGCATAAATAATCTCTGTCAATAACTTAGGCAAACCGTGAGATAAAGCACATGGCTTCTTTATGCAGAACTACTGGTGATTACAAGAAAATGAAATACCACATGTTCTCACTCATAGGTGGGTGTTGAACAATGAGAACACATGGACACAGGGAGGGGAGCACTGCACACTGGGGTCTCTTGCGGGGAATAGGGTAGGGACAGTGCGGGGTGGGGAGTTAGGGAGAGAGAGCATGGGGAGAAATGCCAGATATAGGTGAAGGGGAGGAAGGCAGCAAATCACACTGCCACGTGTGTACCTATGCAACTATCTTGCATGTTCTTCACATGTACCCCAAAACCTAAAATGCAATTTAAAAAAAAGAAAGAAAATGTACCTGAATAAATTTACACCAATACCAGCTAATGCAACAGGTTGCAAAAATTTGTTAAATTTCTCATCCCAGCTTCAAAGAAATAACTGAAAGCAAACAGGAAATTCAAATGAATAGGTGATGTTAAAATTTAGAGAACAAAATAATTTATTATCACTTGTAGGTAACTTCTCTTTTTAAAACTTTTTAGTTGTATTTTTGTAGGATCTTGCTATGTTGCTCATCCCGGTCTCAATCTCCCGGCCTCAAGTGATCCTCCTGCCTCAGCCTCCTGAGTCACTAGGGTTACAAGGATGGCCACTGTACCTGTCTAATGTAACCTCTCTTAGTGCAGAGATTTTCTTAATTTTGTTTGTTGCTGTATATACCAGCACCCATATTAATACCTGCCCAAAGTAGGTGATCAATAAATATTCACTGAATGAATGAATGAAGGGGAAATAATTACTGAGCATCAGCTACGTATTAGGAGTTGCATAAATCACAGCGCCTATGGAAAGGTTGCTATTATCCCTGTTTTGCAGATGAGGAAACTCGAGTTACCAAAGTAACTTTCCTAAATTCAAAGAACTGGAGGTGGCAGAGACAAATCCAGAATCCAGATATGACATAAACCTCATGTTCTTTCCACCTCACTCCCAGCAGACCCAAAGCTATTTTTTATAATAAATATTTTAATGTGTCCTTTACTGTCGTGTAATCAATTCAGAGAACATAGATTTACATACGTAAGTTCAGAAAAATCAATACAGTGTCCTCACTGCAAAATTAAAAAAACATACAAAGAATGGAACTGAAGACAGTAAATACACGAATACTCAGGTATGATCACAGCAGGAGACAATGAGACAGATCCTCACCCTCATTCATAGAACCTTCCTGACTGTAGATCTGCAAATGCAGAATGACAGAAGTGACAGGCATGGGAGGTTCAAATACCTGAGTGCACTGCCACTGACTTGGGAACATTCCAAATAAAACAATATGCAGTTTTCTCTATGCACTTCTAGAAAAGTCACTGTATATTAAAATGATGTAAAAGCACTGGACACAGAATACTATTATTTTTTTAAATACAGGCAAGATCTGACCATGTTGCCCAGGCTGGTCTTGAACCCCTGGACTCAAGTAATCCTTCCACCTTGGCCTCCAAAAGTGCTGGGATTACAGGCATGAGCCAATACATGCCTGACTACAAATGTTTCTTCACTGAACAGAACTAGCTCCTCCCCACTGAACGCCAGAAGTGCCCGCTAGTCTAATGAACAAAAAAAAAACCTTCATTTTTAAAATTCCACAGAGGAAACAGTGCCACCTTCTGCCTCACTAGTCTTCAAGAGCAGTAAGAGGCCAAAGGAAAAGAATACATTTTTATTTTTTATTTTTGAGACACTGTCTTGCTCTGTCGCCAGGCTGGAGCACAGTGGCTGATCGTGGCTCACTGCAACCTCTGCCTCCCAGGTTCAAGTGATTCTCCTGCCTCAGCCTCCTGAGTAGCGGGGACTATAGTCGCACATCACCATGACCAACTAATTTTTGTATTTGTAGCAGAGACGGGTTTCACCATGTTGGCCAGGATGGTTTCCGTCTCTTGACCTCATGATCCATCCGCCTCCGCCTGCCAAAGTGCTGGGATTACAGGCATGAGCCACCACGCCTGCTGATGATTTTTTTTATTTGTACAAACGTAAGGGGTACATGAGAAACTTTGTTACATGTCTGTAATGCTTAATGACCAAACCACGGTATTTAGGGTGTCCAACACCAGAGTACAATACATTTTTGTTAAACATAGTGATCCTACTCCGCTACTGAACAGTGAAGTTGTTCCTTCTTACTGCATGTTTGTATCCTTTAACCCGTCCCCCTTCATCCTCGACCTCCTCCCCACTCACCCTTCTCAGTCTCTTTTATTTTTCCACTCTCTACCTCCAAGTGATCAAATCCTTTAGCTGACACATATAACTGAGAACACACAAGATTTGTTTTTCTGTGCCTGGCTGACTTCACTTAAGATAATGACCTCCAGTTTCATCCATGTTGCTGCAAATGACCTGATTTCATTCTTGTTTTATGAGTGAATGGTAAATAGTATTCCATTGTGTATATATACCACATTTTCTTTATCAATTCATCCACTCATGAACACTTAGGTTGATTCCATATCTTGTCTGTTGCAAAGAGTGCTGCAATAAACATGCAAGTGTGGGTATCCTTTGATACATTCTTTTCTTTTGTGTAGATAGCCAGTAATGGGATTGCTGGATGGAATGGTAATTCTATTTTTGATTTTTTGAGAAATCTTCAACTGTTTTTCCTTAGTGGCTGGACTCATTTACATTCCCAACGAAAGTATATACAAGTTCTCTTTTCTCTGCAAAAAGGAAGATAATTTAATTCAAACTGCTCATCTGGGGTTGAGAGATCAGCTCCATAGTGAAGGCAAAATTTAAGGTGAAGCTTGTAAACTCAGGAGGATGTGTCCAGGCCAGAAAACTTAGAGCACTTGCAGACAGACCTCCTCACACAGCCAATCCTGCTGACAAACAACTATGTGGGGATCACTCCTGCAAAGGGCCCTTGACAGGACCCTCGCCATCTTGAGCTTGAGCCCATACACGTTTCTCCTCTCCTGGAGGCTGTTGAGCTAAGGGAAAGGAGGAAGTCTGGTTGCACTGATTTTATAAACATCAATCTTTGCCTCTGACATTTGCAACAGAATGGCTGAGCTCAGGCCTTGTGGTCTAATGAGACATCGTATGGGTAGACATTGTGTGCCTCCTAGTTCCTTCTCTGCACAATAACTATATGACTTTGTTTACCTCTGCTATCTCAATCATATTGTTTGCATATGATTCTATATGAATAGGCAGGGTTAGAATGACATTTGGAAAGGTCCAGCTATACCTTGTTAACAATCTTACTTGCTTGCTTAACTGATTTTAGAAAAACACATGTTTAGATTTATGATCCCCTTTTTGCAAACTTTATTGTCCCTTTGCTGTACACCCTTTGATTAAGAGTCATACTTTCTGCACCCCTTTTCTTGTGATTTTTTTGTTCTTGTTTTTATTTCAAGATACAATGGAATGTACGTCACTCCTCAAACACTGAAAGGTATATAACCTGTAGTTTGCACAAATAAACTTGCTGTCTTGGCACTTCTTGCTCCAGCATTGCCTGGCAGTCCTCCAGACCCCGCTCTCTATCTATCTTTTCTTCCACGCACTCCCTCTTCCAGGTTAAGAACACTTGAGTGGGGCCGAGGCTCTCCGCTGGACGGAAGCCCTCTGGCAGACATGCCGGACCCCCACAGAACTAGAATACAGTAGAAAATTTCAGGACACTGTCATATTGGTGTGGGGGAAATGTCGTTAATGACATGAATAAATTTTAATGCAACTAGGGAAACCAGGTTCTTGCTCCAGAGCTCTATAAGGATTTTAGCAAGTGTATCCCTCAAAACTGGGTGGTTTGTGGTGGTAGTGGTGGTTGTTGTAAGTCTCCTTATGAACCTGTTCGGTGATTTGAGTCCTTGGTAACATTTTGGCCACCAGATTTATTAGGCTACAGATTCAGAAGAAAAATAATGCTATCGGTGTGGCCTGTGATTTTCTCTGGGAGCTAGACTGGGTGCCTCTCATATTTCTGGATCACAGTTTTGGGTGTCTGATACCTTGGGCGATCTTAATCACGGTGCTATGTTTAATAAACGTCTCTGTTTGATTTGAAGTCTCAGCTACTCTACTGAATCAACATCGCCCTGCATTTGTGCCCGCATGTGTCGGTGATGCTGTTTAAGCATCTGTCCAAATTAGTGCACTTAGCTTCATTCCCTTCCTTGGGGGAATCCTGTAATTTTTCTTACTATAGAGTTTATTAAGAGGCCTTAATTGTTTATATTCCCTGTTGCGAATGAGTCCCTTGGAGCTGTTAACAAATGACTCATAATAAGTTTGACTAGATGATCTCCAAACTTCCCTCCCAGTTCCAACATTCTATGATTTTATAAGTGGAACATTAATTTCTCAAATTTCTAGAGAACTTAAATGTCACAGGCAGATACTGAGAACATAAAGTGGATCTTGGTGAACCGTTACATATTTGTACATGCTGAATACAAGACACAGTGGGAAGGGTGTTTAGGGACAAAGAAATTGCTCTGGGCTTATGGTGATTAGACTTGCATGGTATTTGAAAAGATACTAGAAAGTAAGTCTATCTTTTAAAATGTTTGGTTCAGGGAAGAACACGATGTACTGGAAAAGAAGCTTTGAAAAGTTCTTTGGGAAATGTAAGATGAGGATGAGGGCAGTAGCTCATGCTTGTAATCCCAGCGGTTTGAGAGACTGAGGCTGGAGGATCACTTGAGCCCAGGAGTTCAAGACCAGTCTGGGCAACATGGTGAAACCCCATCTCTAAAAAAAAAAAAGATAGGAAAATTAGCTGGTTGTGCTGATGCACACCTGTAGTTCCAACTACTGGAGAGGCTGAGGCAGGAGGAGCACTTGAGCATAGGAGGCAGAGGTTACAGTGAGTTGAGATCATGCCACTGTACTCCAGCTGAGGTGACAGAATAAAACCTCATCTCCGAAAAAAAAAAAAGCGGGATGATACAGAAAAGTAAAACAAAGTACAAGTAGTAGACACTGGCATTTACATTTTACAAGTGAAATTTTTTTTTGGTGGTGGTGGGGATTGTAGGTAATTTTAAGCTTTAAAACAACAACAAAAAGAACCTGAGATTGTTTCCAAGGCCTTCTCAATAAGTTAGTTGCCAATAAGTCGATCAAAGACTCTAAGACAACCATCTTTGGTCTGCAAATGATGAGCCAGGGAAGAGGATGCATGTTTGAAGGAATGCACCACAGTTTCACAATACTGTCATTTCCTAACTTTTTTTTTTTTTTTTTTTTGAGATGGAGTCCCACTCTGTCACCACGCTGGAGTACAGTGGCACAATCTCAATCACTGCAATCTCCACCTCCCAGGTTCAAGAGATTCTCCTGTCTCAGCCTCCTGAATAGCTGGGATTACAGGCATGTGCCACCATGCCCAGCTAATTTTTGTATTTTTAGTAGAGATGGGGTTTCGCCATGTTGGCCAGGCTGGTCTTGAACTCCTTACCTCGTGACCTGCACACCTCAGACTCCCAAAATGCTGAGATTACAGCATGCCTGGCCTATTTTTATGAAACATACATTTTGACTTAAGCTACTTTGATTTTTGTTGTTATTGAAATATAAAACTATGTGTACCATTTTTGTCTTATAAAAATATGTATCACCATTTCCACAGATCTACTCTCGTTTTTTAAAGCAAATTCTCCTAGATCATGATACCTCATTTCTGAGACCTTCATCTTTACCAAATCTTTCGATCCAAAGCAAACGAATACTGAAAATGCATGTTGAGATGATGTCTAAATGTTACTAAGTAGACATAATGTAATTTAAATTAGAATACTCCTCTCTAGTTCATCTTTACCAATCTTTACCGGATTTCTCTATCTTCTTCATTTCTGGCTACATTTCCAATTTCTTCTTTACTATATTCATCTTTAATCCTGTCTGTTTCTGTTTGATTTCTCTAATGAAGACTGGTCCATTCTATTTCATCCCTTTTTTTTTTTTTTTTTTTTTTTGAGACAGAGTTTCGCTCTTGTTACCCAGGCTGGAGTGCAATGGCACAATCTCGGCTCACCGCAACCTCCGCCTCCTGGGTTCAGGCAATTCTCCTGCCTCAACCTCCTGAGTAGCTGGGATTACAGGCATGCACCACCATGCCCAGCTAATTTTTTGTACTTTTAGTAGAGACGGGGTTTCACCATGTTGACCAGGATGGTCTCGATCTCTTGACCTCGTGATCCACCCGCCTCAGCCTCCCAAAGTGCTGGGATTACAGGCGTGAGCCACCGCGCCCAGCCCCTATTTCATGCTTTTTCATTGACCTCAGAAAAATCTCCTTTTCCATTCCTGGATGACTTTCATCCATGACCAGTTGGAGGTTTGTGCTGTTGCCTGTCTCATTACACTTCCGTTTCAGGACTGGACACATCTCTTCTGTGTTCTTTTGTGCCACACAACTTTACTCACTTTTTATTACTTTAAGTTATTCTGTTTTCTTTTCAGTACCCTCTTTCTCTTACTCTTTTCCCTCACTGATACACAGACACACACATCACAACTGCCACCGCCACATTCCTCATTGCCAGTCCCTTTGTCTCTCAATTCCATTGGTTATCCTAAAATAGAATATGTAAATCCCTCATTCTTACTCCAATTTAACTTTTGTCTCTTTTCCTGCCTCCTCATTCAACCCCATAACCCATAACCCTTATATATCCATCTATTCTCCTCCTTTTCTCCTGTCAGGAGATCATTTCCGTCGTGTGTACGAGAACAGATTGCTTATTTACCATTTCAGTGAAAACAAAACCCCCCAAACCAGAATTCAGATATTAAGACAGAAAATTGACTAGAATGTTCTCATTCATTTAGCAAACATGTGCTGAGTGGTGTACTGAACTACACTTTGGAAAGAAAATTATCAGACATGACAACGACCCTTAAGGAACTCTCTCCTTCTTTAAAAATCATAAAGTCACAGACTAAATGTGATCGCTCTAGAATGTCTGAAATGGAAGAGCTGACAAAAGGTCTGAGATTTCTATCTAATATGTCTTAGGAAGGTCAAAATATTTCTAACAGGAGGCATCCTATAGCAAATGGGAGTTTTCATTAAAGATGCAAATATACATCCCAGAATGAAGTCACTAAAGATAGAAAATAAACGAGTGAGAACATTGAGGTGGCTCATGCCTGTAATCCCAGCACTTTGGGAGGCTAAGGCAGGAAGATTGCTTCAGCCCAGGAGTTCAGGACCAGCCTAGGCAACATAGGGAGACCCTGTCTCTATTTTTAAAAAAGGAAAGGAAAAGGGAGAAGGGAAGGAGGACAGGGGAGAGAGGAAGGAGGACAGGGGGGAGGGGAAGGAGGACGGGAGAGAGGAAGGAGGACGGGGGGGAGGGGAAGGAGGACAGTGGGGAGAAGGAAAGGGAACGTGAGGGAAGGACAGGGAAAGAAAGGAAGAGGAGGGTGAAAGAAATGAAGAGGAAAGAAATGAGGAGGAAAGAAAGGAAAGGGAAGGGAAGGAAGGGAAGGAGAAGGTGAAAGGGAAGAATAGAAGGGAAAGGGGGAGGAATCCAAGTAGGACGTTATAGATGGATAATGGAGCTTTAAAGAAAAGAAACAAAAAATAAAAACTTATACCTGAGTATTTTAGAATACAGAGAAACACCCCCAAATATACTGATAATGAGAACAGGGACTTTGGACAAAATAGAAGACTCAGTAATTACAGATGAGGAGACTTTGAGTAATCCTATTTGCAGGAGCCAGAGCAGCCAGTTTCTATCTCTTCAATTACTCTTCTCAAGCCTCAGAGGCTATTTCAAAAACAAAGTATATTCACCATGATTAGCTTTGAGGGAGCTACTGTGACCGTGGGCTCTCAAAACTGAAAATAACTCAGCATTACACCTTTCCTTCTTCCTACGTGACAACCCATGCACAAACTGAAGTTTTATTCGTGAACTCATTTCTGGAGAAGCAGCTGACATAATTACTCACAGATTATTCATAGGATAAAACTTCTTGGTACTTCAAAAAGATTCTTGATACACTCATTAGGTTGAACATAGTTACACTTCATACCTGGCATGGAAATCTGGCAAACTGAAAATTGGCTGTAAAAAGGATATTTCCAGTGAAACACAGAGCTAATCCTGCAGAGACTAACTTTCCTTTCCCAGAATTCCCATGGCTCTGGATCTCATCCACTTAATTTTTGTTGCTGTTACTGAAAATTTACCTCACCAAACTATCAATATTAAGTTTCTATAGGAAGATTTTTGCAGTGTAAAGGGATAAGTCGGCAGAAGTATTAATCTGTTTACATTCTTCAATTGCAATTAACAAAATAAGAAAAAAATGGACTCTATAAAAGAATCTGCAACATCAGAAAATTAGAACATTGCACTAAATGAAAAGAAAAAAAAAAAACACACAGTATTAGTTCATTCTCACACTGTTATAAAGGCATCCCCAAGACTGGGTAATTTATAAAGGAAAGAGGTTTGATTGACTCACAGTTCTGCATGGCTGGGGAATCCTCAGGAAATGTACAATCATGACAGAAAGTGAAGGGAAGCAAAGTACCTTCCTCACAAGGCATCAAGGAGAAGAATGGATGCGGGAGGAACTACCCAAACACTTATGAAACCAACAGATCTCATGAGAACTCACTCACTATCACACAAACAGCATGGGGGAAACCACCGCCATGATCCAGTTACCTCCACCTGGTCTCTCCCTTGGCAAGTGGGGAATACAGGGATTGTAACTCAAGATGAGATTCAGGTGGTGGCACAAAGCCTAACCCTATTGCATACATTTAAAATAGATCTGTTGGACTGAGTGCAGTGGCTCATGTCTGCAATCCCAGCACTTTGGGAGGCTGAGGCAGGAGGATTGCTTGAGGCCAACCTGGACAACATAGCAAGACCCCACCTCTGCAATTAAAAAAAAAAAGATTTATGATAGAAAATGGAAGCAAACAGCATTCAAGATGTCCCTCTGAAAAAAAAGTAAAATGACTATAAAATAAGAGATAAAATACACAGTGGTAAGACAATTCATTGATGAGGAGAGGGGTGGAAATGTTTAAAAAGCAGAATGAGAGAAGACAGTGACGTGAACAACAAGCTTGAGTCCGTAGGCTAAAATATAGCCAAAAGAACACAGAAAGTTTTATGCAGGAGTCGGTATCATGCTCTTCATTATGACGGCCTTAGAACAAGCTTTAATATCTGACCGAGTTATTTGCTTATAGTCTTCTTTTCCAAACACTTAAACATAATTCCACACTATCTTCCTTTGAATAAAATTTTTCCAGATAGAACAAATAAAATACCACTGTAAATGTATGCAAACAAAATATACATTAATTTGATGAGAATGTATACTTTTACTTACATGGAGTCAATGAGTTATATGTTCCCATTTATTTAAGGCTGATTTCTTGCCCACTGACTAAGGTACTGTACATTTTAGTTAAGTTTTTATTAGATACATCCCCACACAGTGTCACTGTTTACCTCTTACTTGGGACCCTAAAGCAACACTCTCTTAAAGGTGAAATACTACGATTATTTGTGTTAAAGTCAAAATGGCCCCATCGCCTTTATAGTTAACATTGCTTTATAAACATTATGCAATATACAAAGCCGCTTTAAAAGCCATGTAAGTATAAATATTTAAAATAAGAAAATGACTTTTTAACGATGAGCAGATACAGGAGTTTCGTAAGATGGTAAGTTACAATAAGATTAAACAACATCATGGCTAGTAAAGTGCCTGGAACCAAGTGCAACGCTTCAATGTTTGTTAGTTTTTAATGGTGTTTTCTTAGCTATTAAAGCAGATATTAGTGCGCATTTGGGAAAACACTTCTATGTGGCTGGAAGAGGAAGTGATGGGCCATGGGCCATACACATTTCCAGCTCCACCAGATACTGAAAAATGGCTGACCAATTTACACTCCCATGAGTACTGCTTTGCATACACAGTCATGCATCACTTAACAATGGGGACATGTTCTGAGAAGTGTGTCATTTGATTACGTCGTCATCGTGTAAACATCATAGGGTGTATTTAAGTAAATCTAGGTGTCATGATCTACTGCAGACCTAGTCTATATAGCATCATTTATTCTTTTTGCTACTAGGGCTATAAATCTGTACACCAAGCAACTGTACTGAACACTGGAGGCGGCTGGAACACACCAGTAAGTATTTGTGTGTCCGAATATGTCTAAGGTACAGTGCAAGGTACAGTAAAAATACAGAATACAAGAAAAAAATAGTATAAGACACTTATGAACAGAGCGTGCTGGAGTAGAAGTCAGCCTGGGTGAGTGGGTGGTTAGTGAATGCGAAGGCCTAGGACATCAGTGTACACTACTGTGGACTTTATACACCCTGTACATTCATGATACACTAAATTTATTTTAAAAACACTTCTTTCCTCAATAATGAATCAAGCTCAGCTTACTGCAACTTTTTTATTTTATAAACTTTTTATTTTTTTAACTCACAATAACAGCATAAAACACTGTACTGATATACAAAAATATTTTTTCTTCATGTTTCTGTTTTATAAGCTTTTTTCTTTTTTTTTTTTTTTTTTTTTAGATGGCGTTTCGCTCGTTACCCTGGCTGGAGTGCAATGGCGCCATCTCAGCTCACCACAACCTCCGCCTCCTGGGTTCAGGTAATTCCCTGCCTCAGCCTCCCGAGTAACTGGGACTACAGGTGCGTGCCACCGTGCACTGCTAATTTTTTGTATTTTTA